AGTGTTCTGTTGCGTAGAAGAACCGACTTAAAAATATAATCCATCACTTTAATAATGACCAAGATACAAATATGATTCTATTGATAGGAATTTAGTCCATTAGTAATGCAGTATGATGAATCCCTAGTTCTACAATCTATCATTCCTTGTCATTAGCATTGCCTGAAAGTTAATTAGAATTAAGTAAAAGAGTGGTCATAGTAGTTGTAATAGTATTTTTTATTAGATTTCTTGTTAATTTTATTATTGATGGTTGTAATTGAGTCAATATGATATTGCTTGAATGATGGAACGAAGAAAATATCACATGGGATTGACTTCAGAAGAGGTCTGGCATGATGGTTGGACTGATGACCAGCACCGGACTTCCCTTGGCAAGCTTCCAATGATGTCAAACCCCAAGACCAAAGTAAAGATGGGTGTCGGACATTAACGGCAGCCTAATGCATTGTTTGCTCATTTTAGGGTTTTGTTGTGTTATTTGTGTCCTTTTTAGGTCAAACATCTATAACCTATAAATAGGCATATCTCTAGGTCTTTTCTATTGAGTATTTTATCAAATTTTTTTATCAAATATTGCTGGTTTCTACTAATTGTATGAGTTTTTTCTCATTCTTGCAAATGTCTGATTCGTTTTCAAGAATTAGTTTGACAAAAAACTTTCCTTGGCTTACGCTTTCATATTATTTGGTATCAAAGCAAGCTTCTCTTGGGATGGTAACTAATGTTGCAAATCATAACCCTAACCCTAGTCATAGAATCAAGGGTTTAAGAGCGTCGTTGATGCGTGCACAATTTGTCTAGATATATGGGATGCACGCTTGGATCGAATGGAGGGAAGTGTTGAGGACGTACCAAAGATGTTCAACACCTTCATGGAGGGGAAGGGGTTATAGCCTGAGAAGGATTGTGATGAGAGAGGTAGTCGCTGCCAGGGATTGGACTATGAGCATCGTCTTGATCAACATTGTTTCCTACAAGCCTATAGGAGACAGTCCTATGTAGAAAGTTATTTGAGAGATGATAACCTTAACTTTTTGGTTCATCAGGATCAACATTAGATTTGTCCAACTGCAATACCAATTGTTGTAGTAAAGCCAAAATCCAAAATATTGGAGCCAAGTTTGAGAGGGAAGAGATGGAGGAGCACATCTATGAATCAGATGGTGAAGAAATCAACAATGATTTCCTTCCAGCAACAAGTAAAATCTCTTTGGATTCTTTGGCCATGGAGTTTGATGGGTTGGATGAATTTCAAGATTTTAACATCAAAGGAATTTTTTTGGAGAATTCACCAATAACCCAAACCCCCCACTGATTTATTTTTCCGTAATTTAAATGATGCAATAATTTTCCTGGACAAAGAAATCATCACCGATAGTGAGGTGCTTTATTTTAAACAAAATTTTCCTTATTGAGTGATAAGGGCTAATTTTGTGATCTTTTTGAAGGCATTTCATATTATTTTTGAGTCAATTTGTGAAGTTAATTGTTATAAGTTGGTCATTTGGGTATTCAATTTCCACCTTGAGTTGATTGATGAATTAGTTGTAATTTTGTCATTTTAGTCGCAAAATCTTTTTGTTTTTGTAGGGTAAAAAGATTAAGCTCAATTGGATGTAAAGTGGTGGACTAACAAAGTGATGATTAGAAGTTTGAGAAGTTACAACAATTATTAAAAGAAGTGGTGCAATTTAAAAGACCTGAAAGGATGAAGAATGGAAGTATTAGAAGCAGGGGAAGAGAAACGCTCAAGAGTTTCTCATTTCTTCTGCAATTTCTGCAAGGGATTATGGATAAAATCTTCACTTCAATGAGTAAAACAAAAGAAAATAAACCATGGAGAAAACCCTCGAGGGATTATGCACAATCCTTTCACAATTTCTTCGAAACCCTTGAGGATTTAGTGATGGCAACAAGTTGCCAACTTGTTTGACCTTTTGTTTCTTCTCCATTCTTGATGGGACATAAAGGGATGAAGTGCAGTTGTATTGAGGGGATCTAGGAGCTTCTTTTCTTGACTCTTTGATGAGAAGAAACACAGATAACAACTTTTCCTCTCTAGTTTAATTTAGTTTAGAATAGTTTTGGTTTTAACTCTAGTTTCCATTTTCTTTGAAGAAACTTAAAGAACTCTTGGTGTAACAATGTATATTTGATGGCAATGACGATGGTGAAGCTTAGAGATCTTGTTTCTTACATTGAATTAGCATTTTTCCTCTTTACTCTCTTTTAGTTGCATTAATATTTTGTTTTAGGATTAGATGAAGCTATCTATGCCTTGATTATGGTTGAATAAAGTCGAATATTGCTATATCTTGTACTTGCTAATTCATTTATTCTTGCTTTAACACTTGTGAATGCTTGATCAATATTTCCAAGCCATGACAGTTGTCATAATTTATAAGAAGTAGTTGACAATTATGAAAATGGAGGCGGAAAAAAGGAGTAAACACATGAAAGTAGTGATACACTTAGGTGGATGTTCTTGACATTTCTATTTCTAGATTAAGTATTCACTTGTCATTTTACCATGAATATACAAAAACTATAGTATTGACTAAATTCAACTCATTGGCAAGAGCAAGTTCCGATAGTTTGAGTGAAACGCATCCATAGCAAGACAAGTGCATTAGTGATAATTTACCATTTCATCCATAATTAGGTACATTTAGTAGAGTCTATATCCTAGGATGGCTGTCTTTAGTTGAGTTTTTTCAAGTTGTTGATTTTCCTTGCATTGTTTTCGCATTGTTGTTATTTTACTTAATTAAAACTCTTTATTAATCTAGATAATGGAGTAAGTTAGAAGCCTTAGTATTTGAAAGTGATTCTCATGGAATCCATCCTAATTCCTCTATACTACAAGCTAGGACCTGTATATTTGCAGTTCACGAGGGTTTAAGTTTGAAATTTAGAGCACAGGTTTGAACCTTATCATTAAATATTTGGCTGACGAGGCCATGCATGTTGAGTTTCTTGTTGAGTAGGGGCAAATAATCAAGTTTGGTGTGATAAAGAACATGGTACAGCTATTGGTTTTAGACTTTTTTCAGGAATATAAGCAGTCCCTTTTGTGCATGAGTGGGTAACAAAGATTCCGTCGCAAGCATCAGCCACACCAAATCTGTGGGCATATTATGGCTGCATCTTAGCATGGCTCATGCATCAAACTTCTCCGTGGAACTTGGGGATGAGCTCTCTTTAAATAAAGGAGTCTGATACCAAACAAGCAACCCTTGGTTCTTTAATTTATCATTTCGTATCATTAGAGCTACCCAAAAATTAATTGGAATTAATATGTGGTTATGTAAAGATCGAAGACAACCTAAGAGGGGGGTGAATTAGGTTTTCTAAAACCAGCTAAGATATAGGTCACTCTTTTTCAAGCCTACCCTTCTTTTCTCAAAGACCACTCAATGGATCAGTTTACAAGAAAGCACAGGTGTTCGTGAGATGAAGAGGTGAACAGTTTATATAGTAAAACTATAAACGAAAGTAGAGAAACAAACCAGGCTTCAAACTCCACTTGAGTTAGAACAACACTTTATATAACAAGCTACTTCAAGTTGAACAATCTTGCAACCAATTTCTTGTGTACAATGAAAGGATCACTTCCTTCTTGCCCCAAACCTCACTTGGTCAAGCAAGGAAGTTTTACAAACACTCGGATAACCCTCACAATGCTACACTATTGAAGAAGCTGTGTCACACTTGAAAAGCTACAGGAAAATTGCACAAGCTAAGAATACAAATGTTCCTTTGGAGTATTCTAACACTTGAATCACTCACGATTTGATGTAGACTTAATGTGTAAAGTTGTTTTGAGGTGGTTGACTTTGTTCTTTTTATAGGAGACCAAAAAATTCTTCAATTAATGCTGTCAACGGATAGAAGGCATCTGAAGAGTCAACTAGCCGTTGGTGTTGTCGGACGTCCGATAGTCAGTTTTTATGCGTCCGAGCGAGGTCAGTGAGTTCGAGAAGTTTTCTTGAACCTCTTAGGACGTTCGATCCCCTCTCACCATGCGTCCGAGGGTAGGATGCAGACTTGGAGGTTCCTCTTCAATTCCTTCGGACGGCCGATGCGTCCAATGTGTTGCGTCCGAAGTGCAGCAACGCTTGTCGGACGTCCGATGCTCAGGTGTTAAGCGTCCGATCGTGATCAGTAATCGTAGAAGCCCTGGCTTGTCTTCTTCGGACGTCCGAGTCTGAGTTCTTCATACGTCCGAAGTTACTCAATAGATGTCGGACGTCCGATACTCTCCTTTTGTGCGTCCGACATCTTCCTCAGCACTTTTCACCTTTTTTGATCTTCTTTTTGCTCTAAGTCCTCAGACCTGTTTAGTGCCATTTCTGAAAAGAGTCTCTACAAAAAGTATTAGTAACATCCGTTTGTTTTGTAATCATCAAAAGATATGAATTGAGATAAACAATCTCCCCCTTTTTGATGATGACAAAACACTTGGATAGAGCAAAAAGAAAAGTAGAAATACGAGTTGGGATTACAACTCCCCCTAATGAAGTGCATGAGTATACGAAAAGAAACGCAACTCCCCCTAAAACTGACTCCCCCTAACTAATTTCTTTACACCATCGGTGCTAATCCATTTCTCCCCCTTTTTGTCATCACAAAAGCAGGTATGTCATGTCTGATCAATTTTGATACCAGTAGCATCAGATAACATCAGCACGATCCATCAGAAACATTAGCAATAAAAAATTTGACAACAAAGATTTTTCAATCAGATAATATCAGCAAAATCCATTCATGCTCAGCACAATCCGGAATCATCAGAAACATTCATTCATAACAAACACATCCATTCACATCAGATAACATCAGAAACACTCAGTCATAGCATCCATAAACAGTAGAAAACATCCAGTTGTACAGACCAGAACTATAACTCTTAGTACAAAAGTTTTGCACACGAAAAGTTTTACAGTTCAAAAGATGAACTATAGTCCTAAAAATAAAGTGCAGTGACCTAGCAGTGCCTAGATAGTAATTTTAGATGATCTAGGCCTCCTCCTGGCCAGACGAAACTGTTCAGGAGCCACTTCTTCCTCAGTTTCTTCATCGTCTTCTTTATATGCCTCCTCAGTAGCTGGAGCCTTGCCTTTATCCTTGGGCTGAGAGCTGAAAGATGGTGTGGCCTCAGTACCAGTAGTTGGCCCTGTGGGCTCAGGTCTTAGCTCTTTCTGATGAACATTTTCATTGTTTTCAGGTATTGGAGGCACAAGAAGCTTCCTTGTTTCAATGAAAGAAGATTGTTGGGCAGGGGTCATGGTCATCATGAGACCATTTTCAATAAGCATAACATGCTGTTTGCGGTCTTCAAGCAAGGAGATGACCTCAGAATTGGAAGAGAGGGACTTGCTGGCAGACTTTCTAGGATGAATGGTGAAAGGAGAGACATAGTCTGACTGATCACGAGGAGTCCTAGGAGTGACAGGGGTTTCATGAAAGTTTTTCCTTCTAGACTCAACCACAGTCTCCTTATAGCACCATTGGCCATCAAAAAATCTTAAGTTCTTTCTTTCAAAATAAGCTTTTGAGAAAACTGTTGAAATACTGTCTTTGGGTGATTTTTCAGAAAAAGGTATTTCAAAATGGGCAAAGATAGGGGTCAGAAATATGCCATTAGAGAGCTTCCTACGACTGTCAGTGCTAATTTTGAGCAGAAACTTGCACATCACAAATCCAAAGTCAATGCGGATTTTTTCAACAGAACAGTAGAAAAGGTAGAGTTCCATTTTGTTTGCATCTATTCTGTGACCATCAGTTGGCACCAACAGATTTGAAATGATGGTGAAGATGATCAGATTCTGAGGACTGAGATCATCTAATCTTGCCTCAGCAGGAGTATTGAAGTGGGTTTGAAAATAGGTCATGAGTTTAGCATTGTAAAAATGATGGTAGGCAGAAGGAAATTCCTCATACGAAAAGAAATTTGTAATTTTTCCTTTGTAACCATCTTCAATTTCTGTTTTCAAAGAAATTTATAATGTCAGGTGTTAATGTGATGTTCACAGAGTTGACCCTAGAGATGAGTTCTGTGTGTGAGTTACCCTTTCTAAGATTAGCAAAGAATTGATAAAGCATGTCAGGGTAAAAGGTATTAGGAATGGTCAGAAGATGAACCCATTTTCGGAATTCAAACAGCTTAATAACAGGTTCAAGATCAAGCTTATGAAATTCATAGGGAAGGATGAGCCTTTGGGTGATAAACCCTTTTTGAGAGACCAACTCAAATCTGTCTCTGGCTTCATCATCAATGAATTTTGGGAGAGGAGTGGGTTCTATTACGGGCTGAGATACTGGATCCTTCCCAGAACGTTTCTTTTTCGAGGTTTGTGTGGCAGATGATCCAACATTTTGAGCCTCAGTCCTTGTCCTTGGAGATTTCCTGGTGGAGGGTTCAGGTGTTTGCTGATTCTCAGCAATGTTTCCTTCATTCTGCTGATCATCAGAGGGATCAGCAGATTGCTTTTTCTTGGATTGGGGAGTGCTCTTCCTTTTTGCAGTTCTTTTTCTTTTACCAGATGACCTTGTGACAGTTTCATCATCCTGGGTAGCCCGTTCTGGTTCCTCATTTCCACCAACTGTGTTTCCTTCAGAGTTCTGCTCTTCCATCTGCTCATCAGATGGTTCAGCAGTTGGAGAAACCCTTTTTCTTTGGGCAGTTTGCTTCACTTTACCACCACGGGTCACAATCTTCTTTTTAGGTGCTTTGGTAGACGGTTCCACAATTTCAATGTTTTCATCTCTAAGTCTAAAAGACCGTCCTGCACTAGTAGATCCTCCTCTGATTCTAACCATGATGCAATGTGGATGTGTTTTTGATGCAGAACGTGATGTATAGAGGAAGAATGCAGTATGAGCAAACGAGAATGCACTGAAATGCCGCAAGGAGAGAGTTATGAGAAATTAGGGTATCGCATGTGAATTGGAAACTATGGGGTAATTGGGGTTAGGAGTGATTTTTATGGGTGGTTAACGGGCAATAGAGGTGTAATGGCGTTGGTTGAGTCAATTTCTTGGAACTTGATTTGAGGAGAGAGGAATTTGAATTTTAAATATGAGAGGAAACTGCAAGGTTGCGTTCGAGACTGTGGAGGAAAATGAACTGAGGAAGATGGGTAACTGCCTTATAAGGCTCAATTTTTTGAGTGTCGGACGTCCGAACGAAGTGAAGCATCAGACACAACCGTTCGAACCAGTGCTTTTCTGAAACGGGACGAAGAACACTGTCGGACGTTCGTTCCAATTCATCGGACGTCCGATAAAAATTGACTAGAAACGAAACTTAGAATATTTTTTCTGAAACGCCCAGTTTTGTTCTCAAGAACACAAATTGATCCAGTGGAAGAGCTTTTGTGAGGATATCAGCGATTTGATCTTTAGAACAAACAAACTGAACACAGATTACCCCCTTGGAGACAAGATCGCGAATGAAATGATGCTTTATATCTATGTGCTTAGTCCTAGAGTGTTGAATGGAATTTTTTGTCAGATTAATTGCACTAGTGTTGTCACAGTACATAGGTACACATTCATATACTAAACCAAAATCATTCAATGTGTTTTTCATCCATAACAATTGAGCGCAACAAGCACCAGCAGCAACATATTCAGCTTCAGTGGTGGACAATGAGATAGCATTTTATTTTTTACTAAACCAAGATACTAAACAATTTTCAAGAAAGTTGCATATACCAGTAGTACTTTTTCTATCTATTTTACAACCACCGAAGTCAGCATCAGAGAATCCACATAAAGGAAGTTCATGACATTTTGGATACCACAAGCCAAAGTTTAAGGTTCCTTTAAGATATCTAAGAATTCTTTTTACCGCATTCAAGTGTGATTCCTTTGGACAGGATTGAAATCGAGCACATAAGCATACAACAAACATGATATCAGGCCTACTGGCAGTTAAATAAAGTAAACTTCCAATCATACCTCTATACTTCTTTCCTCAACTTTTGTACATTCTTCATCTTTGTCAAGTTTGGTAGATGTGCACATAGGTGTTCCAACAGGCTTTGAGTTCTCCATTCCGAATCTTTTCAGCAGCTCCTTGGTGTATTTTGTTTGATTTATAAATGTTCCATCTCGGGTTTGAACCACTTGGAGTCCAAGGAAGAAGTTTAATTCTCCTATTATGCTCATTTCAAATTCTTTTTGCATGATATTGGAAAAGTCCTTGCACAAGCTCTCATTAGTAGCACCAAATATGATATCATTCACATATATTTGCACAATTAAAAGATCTCGTGAGCTTTGTTTTGTGAAAAGTGTAGTATCTACAATGCCCCTTTTAAAACCATTTTCAATCAAAAACCCACTCAAACGTTCATACCATACTCTAGGAGCTTGTTTTAATCTGTATAAAGCTTTTGAGAGTTTAAAAACATGATCTGGATAAGATTCATTTTCAAAACCAGGAGGTTGGTCAACATAGACTTCTTGATCTATAAAGCCATTTAAAAAGGCACTTTTAACATCCATTTGAAATAATTTAAAATTCTTGAAACATGCAAATGCTAGAAACATTCTAATGGACTCCAGCCTAGCTACAGGTGCAAAGGACTCATCAAAGTCTATTCCCTCTTCTTGAGTGTATCCCTAAACCACCAATCTGGCCGTATTTCTAACAACCTCCCCTTTATCATTCATTTTGTTTCTAAAAACCCACTTTGTGCCAATGATAGGATGGTTTTGTGGTCTAGCAATCAGGGTCCAAACCTTGTTTCTTTCAAATTGGATTAACTCTTCTTCCATAGCTAAAATCCAGTGCTCATCATTCAATGCATCAACAACATTTTTAGGTTCAAAGTGTGATACTAAAGCAAGATTATCTACTAGGTGTCTAGAGGAACGAGTTCTGACCTTTTCAGATGGATCACCAATTATAAGCTCCCTGGGATGGTTCTGGACAAATTTCCAGGTTCTTGGAAGATCATTAGGAGTAGTGGTATCTCTGTCATTCACTTCTCCAGCTGGACTGTCTTGAGTATCAGCATTCTTTAAATCAATTTCTGGTGAAGCAGAGCCATGATCATTGATTGCTAACTTCTTTAATTTTTCTTGTACACCTGTATCATCATCTTCACCACAACTCATGGAAATGTCACTATTAGATTCATCAAAAGTAATGTGTTTCGCCTCCTCTATAACCAGTGTTCTATGATTATAGACTCTGAAGCCTCTTTTGTTTTCACAATATCCCAAGAAAATTCCCTCATCAGATTTCTTGTCAAACTTTCCAAGATGTTCCTTGATGTTCAAAATGAAACATTTACAACCAAAGACTTTAAAGTAACCAACAACAGGCTTTTTGTCAAACATGAGCTCATAAAAAGTTTTGTTCAAAATTGGTTTTAAGAGAACTCTGTTTATGGTATAATAGGCTGTGTTTATGGTTTCAACCCAAAAATACTTTGGTAAATTGCATTCATTAAGCATGGTTCTAGCAGCCTCTTGGAGAGTTCTATTTTTTCTTTCTACAACTCCATTTTGTTGGGGGACTCTAGCAATAGAGAATTCATGTGTAATGCCATTGTTATCACAAAAATCTGGAAAGCCACAAAAATGAAATTCAGTGCCATTATCACTTCTAATTTTGATAATTTTCAAGCCAATCAAATTCTGAACTTTAGCAAACAGTGATATGAAGTTCTTGAAAGCATCATCTTTATGTGCAAGAAACATTACCCATGTATATCTGGAATAGTCATCAACAACAACAAAACAAAATCTCTTACCACCAAGGCTTGTAGTTTGTGTAGGACCAAACAGATCAAGGTGTAAAAGTTTTAGTGGCTTTGAAGTAGAAACATATTTCTTGGGTTTAAAAGATACCTTGACTTATTTTCCAAATTGGCAAGCATCACATATCCGGTCCTTTTCAAATCTAATTTTTGGGAGACCTCTAACAAGATCCTTTTTAAAAATTTCTTTAAGCAAATCCATATTGAAGTGACAAAACCTTCTATGCCATAACCATGGGTCCTCATTTGCTACTTTGAGACATTTGAGATAGGAGGAATCAATTTTTTCAAGAACAACTACATAGATATCATTAACTCTTTTTCCTTTGAAAACAGTGTTGAACTTTGAGTCAAATATGAGACATTCAAGCTTCTTGAACAATACAAACAGATTCCTATCACACAATTGGCTAACACTTAATAAATAGTAGCTCAGATTGTCAACAAGAAGGACATTGTGGATAAAGGTTTGACCATTCTTACCAACATCACCAATACCAACAGTTTTGGCTTTGTTATCATCTCCAAACGTTACCTTTCCACTTGCTTTTGGCTTGAGTTTAATGAATTGTGATGCATCACCAGTCATATGTCTTGAACATCTACTATCAATGAACCATTTTGATTCTTTAGCAATTTTAACCAGGTTCACCTACACACAAACCCACAAGATAATACTTGGTACCCTTTACATGTTGGGTCCTTGAGAGTTAGTATTATGTCTAACCATCCACATGCATCTCATGTCATTTCTCATGTTTTTTTTAACATAACAATTGCTATTCATGTGATCAAATTGACAGCAGAAACTGCACATAGTTGATAAATCACTCGAGTGAACAGGTTTTATAAATCTGATTTGCCTTTTTCTATAGACAGTAAACTCATTTGCTCGATAATTTAACCTATTCTGATGAATATCAAAGTGAGATCTTGTGCTACTTCTTTGAAAGAGGCTTTGTTTCTGATGTTGAAGTAACTGACCAAGATCATTCATTCTTCTTTTCAAGCAGTTTTGTTCCTTTTTGAGAATGTCATAGAGGTTTGTCCTTTTGTCAAGTTCAGTATGTAAATCAAATTCAATCTTTTTCAGGTTATCATTTTCATTTTTCAAATGTTTGTTTTGTCGCCAAAGGTTTGCATTGTTTTGAATCAAAAAATTAATTTTCTGTTTTAGTTATTTGTTTCTGATATAAGATTCTTTCAAATTGTTGTGCATCTTTTCCAAAAATGAATTAACATCATCATCAGATTCATTGTCACTATCAGTTTGGGAACTACAAGCAGTTACCTCATCATCACCAATGGCCATGAAAGCCACTTGAGCAGATTCCTCTTCTTCCTCAACTTCACCTTGTGAGTTGCAATCATTCCAGGTGATCTGGAAATTGTTGAACTTTGATTTTCGTTCAACCTTGTTCTCCTTCTTTTTCTTCATTGGACACTCATTTGCATAGTGTCCTGGTTGGCCACATTCAAAACACTTATCAGTCTGCTTCTTGTTGAACTCCAGTTTTCCTTTGTTTCTGAAGTCATTAGACTGATTTGGGAAGGAATTGCTGGATCCATCTTTCCTGAATCTTCTCTTGTTGAGTATTTTTTTGAAGCCTCGTGTGATGAGTGCAATATCACTGTCATCATCTTCCAAATCATTTCCATCCTGTGAGGCTGTTTCATTTTCGTCTTGTGACGCTTTCAGAGCAATACTCTTTCTTACCTTGGTGTCTTCTTCATCCTGCATCTTAGATTTAAGTTTCAGTTCGTAAGAAGTTAGAGAGTTAATCAGAGATTCAATGGGTAAAGTATTCAGATCCTTGGCTTCCTCAATGGCAGTCACTTTGCTTTCCCAATCCTTTGATAGAGCATTCAGGATTTTTCTGTTCTTCTCACCTAGAGAGTACTCCTTCTCAAGCACCTCTAAATCCTTGATCAGATCATTAAATCTATAATATATTTTGTCAATATTTTCATGAGACTCCATCTTAAAAGATTCATACTTAGTGACCAGAATGGATTTCTTTTGCTCTCTCACATTCTCGCTTCCCTCATGGATCTCTCTAAGTTTATCCCAAATTTCTTTTGCAGATCTGCAGCCTTTGACTCTAATGGACTTATTTGAATCTAATGCACTGTATAGAACATTCATAGCCTTGGCATTTAGAGTGAGATGAGTTCTATCTTCAGCAGTCAACTCACTTCTTGTTTTTTGTCTCGGCCTATGAGTAGTTTCATCAACAATAGTCGCGTCATATAGACCTTCACTAACAATAAACTACAACTCAATATCAATGGATTGTAAGAATATAATCATCCTTTCCTTCCAGCTCACATAGTTTGATCCATTGAACATTGGAGGTCTAGTGACAGATTGTCCCTCAAAGAACATGGCATTGTTGGTTGTCATATTTACTCCCAAGCCGATTGAGTTTAATCTCTAGGAGACCAACCTCTGATACCAATTGTAAAGATCGAAAACAACCTAAGAGGGGGGGTGAATTAGATTTTCTAAAACCAGCTAAGATATAGGTCACTTTTTTTCAAACCTACCCTTCTTTTCTCAAAGACCACTCAATGGATCAGTTTGCAAGAAAGCACAGGTGTTCGTGAGATGAAGAGGTGAACAGTTTATATAGTAAAGCTATAAACGAAAGTAGAGAAACAAACCAGGTTTCAAACTCCACTTGAGTTAGAACAACACTTTATATAACAAGCTACTTCAAGTTGAACAATCTTGCAACCAATTTCTTGTGTACAAGGGAAGGATCACTTCTTTCTTGCCCCAAACCTCACTTGGTCAAGCAAGGAAGTTTTACAAACACTCGGATAACCCTCACAATACTACACTATTGAAGAAACTGTGTCACACTTGAAAAGCTACAGGAAAATTGCACAAGCTAAGAATACAAATGTTCCTTTGGAGTATTCTAACACTTGAATCACTCACGATTTGATGTAGACTTAATGTGCAAAGTTGTTTTGAGGTGGTTGACTTTGTTCTTTTTATAGGAGATCAAAAAATTCTTCAATTAATGCTGTCAATGGATAGAAGGCATCTCAAGAGTCAACTAGCCGTTGATGCTGTCGGACGTCCGATAGTCAGTTTTTATGCGTCCGAGCGAGGTCAGTGAGTTCGAGAAGTTTTCTTGAACCTCTTAGGACGTCCGATCCCCTCTCACCAAGCGTCCGAAGGTAAGATGCAGACTTGGAGGTTCCTCTTCAATTCCTTTGGACGGCCGATGCGTCCAATGTGTTGCGTCCGAAGTGCAGCAACGCTTGTCGGACGTCCGATGCTCAGGTGTTGAGCGTCCGATCGTGATCAGTAATCGTAGAAGCCCTGGCTTGTCTTCTTCGGACGTCCGAGTCTGAGTTCTTCATACGTCTGAAGTTACTCAATGGATGTCGGACGTCCGATACTCTCCTTTTGTGCGTCCGACATCTTCCTCAGCACTTTTCACCTTTTTTGATCTTCTTTTTGCTCTAAGTTCTCAGACCTGTTTAGTGCCATTTCTGAAAAGAGTCTCTACAAAAAGTATTAGTAACATCCGTTTGTTTTGTAATCATCAAAAGATATGAATTGAGATAAACAGGTTATAGTAGTTTTAGTAGTATTTTTTATTAGCTTTCTTGTTAATTTTATAATTAATGGCTGTAATCAGGTCAATAAGAGGTCACTCGAATGATGAAACAAGGAAGATATCATGTGGAACTGACTTTAGAAAAAGTCTGGCTTGATGACCGGACTGATGATCAGCCGTGGACTTCCCTTAGAAAGCTTTCGACAATGTCCACCCTCATGACCAATGTAAAGAAAGGTGCCAAACATTGTTGCTCGTTTTAGGGTTTTGTTCTATTATTTGAATCTTTTTTAGGTTAAACTTCTGTAGCCTATAAATAGACATGTCCCTAGGTCTTTTGTATTGAATCTCTTATCAAAATTTTATCAAATATTGTTGATGTCTACCAATTGTGGGAGTTTTCTCTCGCTCTTGAAATCTATGATTCATTTTTAGGAATTAATTTGATGAAACTCTTTCCTTGGTTCACGTTTTCATATTAATTTGTGAGTTTTGCAATATCTCATGTCTGTACTTTTATCTCTTGTAACATATTCATGAGTGTCTTGCAGTATATGGATATCGCTATTTATTTTTATTCATAAAAGTAAAAATTTTCATCTTATTTTGTGCGTTCACTGAAACAATGTCTTGGCTGTTTCTATCTATAGTTGATATATATCAAATTTCAACTTACGGTACATTTGATAAAACTAAAGTCTAAAAACTGAAATTTAAAATTTGAAATCTGAATTTATTAAGTTATTAAATTGTCAAGTACTAAATTTGACACATTTGAATATATATCACGTTAAGTGATAAATAAATATTCAATTATTTATTACTTTTTTTTGGAGCAAGTTTTGTCTAAAAAATTTAGTACTATTTAATTAATTCAGACGTTCAATTTTTTGTTAGATCTATCCATTAAATTTACGTGCTGAATTAGGTTATCAAACAAGGCCTTAATAATTAGTTTGACCTAGAGAAATGCTGCCATTTTCACTCATGGTAATGCTTCTCATGTCAAGTGAAGAAAGTACTCACCAGTTGGACAAACATCATTGATCTACCATTTGTGTGATAAATTCCCCGGGGCCCATGCTGAAAATGGTAAGGTTTTGCACACAATAGTAATGTTAGACCTATAAGAAACACAAAATTAGCATAGAAGCTGAATCAAAATGTGACATAACCACATAAAATGAAAGTTGCTGAGTCCATTTTCAATTCACATTACATTTTAGTAATTGTCAAATCAGGTTAATTATCCAAACTCTTTATTTTTTTTTTGGGCAGGGTTGGATGTGTGAGAACTCGTAAATTTATGTGTATATTTCGAATTATTTCAATACATTTAATCTATTATTAGAAATATTATATGTAACAAATGAATAGTTGAACAAAATACATAATTGAATTCCTATAAACATTAAAATTTAGGAAAAAGCGTTATGGTGGCGAATCCCCCGCATTCCCTGGTGGCGGAGTTCTTCACGCCTCATGGATGGAATGTGCCTCGGCTTAAGGAGTGGGTCCCCGATTTCTTGGTTCAGTAGATCACTAGCATTCATTTCTCACTTGATCGAGATGACGTTATGGTTTGGACACCCTCAACCAATGGCAACTTCTCCGTAGCCTCAGCGTGGGGGGACATCCGCCAAAAGCGTAATATTTCGTGGATCGATCGTTGGGTCTGGGGTTCCATCGTGCCTCTAAGAGTATCCTTCTTTGTATGGAGGCTGTTGCGCAACTGGATATCCCTCGATAGCTTGCTGCAGGATAAGGGGGTAGCACTATGTTCCAGATGCAGTTGTTGCCAGCAAGGCCCAGAAACTATCAATCACCTTTTCTTGCACGGCACGGTGGCTGGGGAAGTGTGGGAACACTTTTTCAAGGTGTTTGGACTTCTCCCCTTCACCGCGGTCAGTGTTGCCGCTATGCTGTCCCACTGGTTCTTCTCACACTCACAGGTTTCGTCCACTCATGTGCGGGTTCTTGTTCCGCTGTTGGTTTTTTGGTTCATTTGGAAGAGCAGAAACAATGCTAGATTTGATGCATGTCAGATCACTTCGTCACAAGTGATTTTTCAGATCGAAGAGTTGTTGGGCTGGATGGGTAAGGCTCGCGCGTTCTCTTCAGCCCCTTTTTCAGGCGATCGGGATTGTCCCTGGGCGGCCTTTGGCAACAGCTATGGACGGCCTAAGGCCATGGTGCCGGTCTCTTGGGAAAAGCCATTGCCGGGGCATCTAAAGCTTAACACTGATGCCAGTGTCCTCACCGGCAAAGCAGCGGGGGGTTGGGTGCTGCGTGATCATGACGGGAAGGTGATCTCGACTTATTACAAAGAGCTTGGGGATTTGGGAGTGCTGGAGGTGGAGGCGCAAGCTCTCCTGGAAGGTCTAAAAATGTGCGCAGAACAGGAGACGGGAGCTTTGACTGTTGAATCAGATTCGAAGGTGCTTGTCCAACTAGTGAATTCGGAAGCCGTCTCAAAATGGCCGGTATGTACTGTACTGTGGGAGATCAGACATCTCCTCCATCAGATGAGGGCTCCTCTTCAGCATGTGTTTCGTGAGGCCAACTTGGTGGCAGATGCCCTGGCATCCTTGCAGGTAGGGGGGCATTGCTGCTACTCCTTCATTGAGTCCTTACCCCGCAGGGCCAGAGGTGAGGCACGTCTGGACCGCTTAGGAGTTCCTCGGTTGCGGGAGGTGCAACTTAGGGCTTGATTGTTGGGTTTTTATTATTATTTCCTTTTAGTGTATCATTGCATGATTTAATAAAATTCAGGGCAGGTTGCCCCTTTGATTAAAAAAAAAAACTCCTTAGCAAATAAATACTTTATTGTTAAAAGACCATTATAACCTCAATACTTGAATAAATAACCATGCAACTGAATTGATCATTTAGCTAGACATCAAATACAACAAAGAGATAATTCAGTGGAATCATTTAGCATCAGATTGTAGAAAGCAAAAGAAAGAAACCGAGAGAGGAATACAACTTTAATTGATAGGAACCGAATAGAAGCCAACAACCATCTACTAGTCTAAGCGGTGAAGTGTAGAAATTAACCGAGATTGGGGCGGTGAGTTGAGACAGCTGCCAGGAAGGAATGCATCACCAAATATCTGAATAAGCAGTGACCGAAAGAGAGACAATAAAGAGAAATTATTTGCTGAGTCCAAGTGGTGATCGAGAGAAAAACTAAGGGAAATCAATTGTTGCAATATTTAGGCGGTAGCTGAGTAGAGGAGCAAAGCTTCAAGCCTTTTCTTTCAAATCAGTATCGAGAGCATGTCTGGGAGAGTGAGAGTGAATTGCCATCAAATAATGAAGGTCTGAAGGGAATTAAGCTGGAAAGGAACTGATTACATCTGAGCTCCTAACACTTAAGGCAAGAGGTAAGAACCTGCACTAATTTTCTGCTTGTTTGGTACAACTGGAATAACATATGAACTGCATGTGAGTTAACAAAGAAAATAAGTTCTTAGTTACAATGAAATTTTGTTTGAAGGAGGAGATAAAGCTGTTGGACAGATTTGGAAGGAACTGAAAACTAATGTTCGAATTTTAGTCCATGAACGAGAGAACTTAGGGATTTATCGTGAGGACTTTTTTAGCATTGTGATTAGTATCTTAATAAGGTAGGAATTTTGTATCAATCGAGGCATTGTAAAAGAATGTGAACGGTTGGTTTTGGTTTATCGAAATGTTATCTCTGGAGTTAATGTATGGTTAATGGAAATTATAAAAGGGTTATCTCTAAAGTTAATGTGAAATCAATGAGTCCTGGTGAGAGCCAAACAGACGATCCGCTAATTTTTAGAGTACACCCTATAAGGAAGTGGGGTCATCACAGGATGGGGTTGGGAGGAAGGGGGTGAATTGAAGTTACACAGACTTTTTGAGATTAATCATCAAGTTATAAAGACTATTATACCTTTGACATTCATTGCCATTTTTCAAATTGTTGATGTTCTTAAATTTTTATTTATTTATTTATTTTTGTTTTGGTTTCAAGACAATTGTTACAAAGATTATAGAGAGGAAGTTAATTGCAACTAAAAGATGTGTCATACTTGTATATTCTAATTATTGGAAATGCTAACCAGAGAGTTCAATGTAATTTAATTAAGATCTCAACAAAACTATTCTTTTCTATTCCTTCTTCTATTGTTATGTTTTTGATAGGATTATCCAAAAAAATGTTAAAAAGGTAGTCACCTTCAGTATATTAGAAAATACCAGATGTTTGTGAAATTGAATTTCTGAATGAAACTTTTACCCAACCAAGATCAAGAAATGGTCTTTCTCAAGAGTTATTTTACAAAGACCTAATCAAGAAAAGGTCTTTCTTGGGAGTTATGGCTATAGTGTTGATGCCCAATTTGCAAGATTCTCAATTGATGTCAAAGGTGGTTTGCTATGCTATTTGATTTTGGTGTCATGATATAAAAAATTATATGTCGATTAGAAAAAAGAAAACATAGCATATATTTTCATTTCAACTATTTCGTAATTTAATTAATTTAGATGGTAGATATGTCTAACATGTTTTATTAGAAACAAAAAAACAATGACGAATAAAAAGAAAATTCTAGCAAGCCAAACACTACAACAACCACCATTTTCACTGGAGAACATTTTGCAATAGTACGTTTATCTTTAACAATCAATACCCATGTCCTTTAACATAATCTTCTTAGTTAGCCCAAAGTCAAAACTTATGATTACATGACAATTATTTATGGTTCCATCTTATTTGCTATATATATTGCCAATCATTGAGAACAATTAAAACTCAACCAACTCCCTATAGGTAAGTTGGCAATAAGGCAAAGTATAGAATGCAATCCTGGCCACAGGTTAAGAGTTCAAATCCGTGCACCTACAATTAAATTTGAAGGGTGTATAATAGTGCACCTCTTTGGTTTAGAGGTAAGTTTCTCTCCCTCTAGCCTCCCATGATCCGGTAAGACCCTTCCCAAATATAGATTATGTAAATGTTGTCCATTGACCCAATAAAGAAAAGAGAAACATTAAAACTCAATCTCTTCATATCAAATAGGTTTGATTTCATCTTTCACTTCACATCTCACTAAACAGTGTTATAAAAAAGGGTAAAAAATAAAAAAAAACCCCCTGTGATAAACCTAATACACAGAAAAACCCCCCATGGTTTCAAAATATACAACACGACCCCTCATGCTTTGAACTAAGTTGTAAAGGTAACGGAATCCGTTAAACTTAACGAAAATGAACTAAATGACCAAAATGCCCTGATATAATAAAACAAAAGACAACTCAAAAAAATCATTTGTTTAATTCTCTAAATAGAGAGAATTGAGGGTTAAGGGGTAGAATAGGTATATTGGATAAAAATTAGGTATAAAAATTTTTTTTTAGGTTCCAATAAGTCATTTCCGTTAAATTTAACGGATTCCGTCACCTTTACAATTTAGTTCAAAGTATGAGGTGCCGTGTTGTATATTTGAAACCATAAGGGGCTTTTCTGTGTATTAGCCTTACCACAGGGGGCTTTTTTGTTTTTTACCCTATAAAAAATGCATGCCATGAAATTGGTGAAGGAAATTGATTTAATGAAGACCGCAAAATCTATCCCATGTACATATATATCAAGGATATATACTGAACTAATATAGAACTTTAGATTATATAGGTGTTGTCGATTGATTGAAAAAATAGAGAGAAAATTAAAACTCACTCCTTCATATCAAATAAGTTCAATTCATCTTTCACTTCACATCTCAATAAACAATATTATAAAAAATGCACACCATGAAATCAATTAAGGAAACTAATTTAAGGAAGAGCAGAAAATCTATCCCATGTACTTATACATCGAGAATATATATGAAACTGACATAGAGCTTTACGTTATGTAGATGTTGCCGATTCACAAAAAAGATTAAAACTCACTTTTCATATAAAATAGGTTCCATTCCATCGTTCACTTCACATCTCATAAATAGTATTATAAAATATGCACACCATGAAATAAGTTGAGGAAATTGATTTAAGGAAGACCACAAAATCTATCCCAAGTACTTATATATCAAGGATATATATTGAACCAATAAAGAACTTTAGGTTATATCGATATTTCCGATTGACCCAAGAAAAGGAAAAAAAGAAGAAAAAAATTAAAACTCACTCTTCATATCAAATAGTTTTGATTTCATCGTTCTCTTCACATCTCACTAAATAGTACTATTAAAAAAACACACCATGAAATCGATTGAGGAAATTGATTTAAGGAAGATCACAAAATCTAACCTATGTACTTATATATCGAGGATATATATTGAAGCAATATAGAACTTTAGGTTATATAGATATTGCCGGTTGACCCAAAGAAAAAGGAAAAAAAAGAGAAAGATTAAAACTCAGTCTTCATATCAAATAGGTTCAGTTTCATCTTTCACTTCACATGTCACCAAAGAGTATTATTAGGAAAAAAAAAACCACATCATGGAATCTATTAAGGAAATCGATTTAAGGAAGGCCACAAACTCTATATCATGTATTTATATATCAAAGATATATATTGACCTAGTATAGAACTTTGTTCTTGTTAAGTTCTTCTGGTTGGGGAAAAAAATATTTTTATCTCCTATTGACAAATGAACGCCATGAGATGTGCAAATGTGTTATTTCTATTTGTCTCAAGTACATCCCAAAATGATGTTCAATGAAATTAAGACCGGAGGTTTAGGTATTACAACTAAAAAAGTAGAAATTTAATTTAAGAAAAGAATAAAGTTTAGAGACCAAAGTCACAATTTTTCTTATTAACATGGTATAGAAGATTGCGTCAGTAGGAAATTGCAAACAAATGATAATGTCATTCTTGGTTTTATGCCACAAACTAGTGCTGTGTGCCATAAACAATTGTAACATAATACATTTGCTGACAGCTAACCATACCAAACAAAGAGGCCATCTAATTCCTCCAACTTTGGGGGTTAAGAAAATTAATCAAATCAACTACAAAACTACAAAAACTATAATTTGTTTGAATTGGAAAAGGAAAAAAGGACCATAATTGTAATAGTACTCATACTGAACGTAGGACACCGAGCCTTGTAATTTCAAAACCTTCCCTTTGGGACAATTTCAAGTCATAAAAGTCATTTCGAGCTTTTTTAATTTTGTCCAATTATCCAAACAAATCTAGAAAAATACAAAATACATACACGTCCAAATATTGAATACGCTAAAATTGTCAAATTAATGGTGTTTTATTTTTTCACATGTTAGTCATCTCATATACCTAAAATTCCACTAATCATCTTTTTTTGCCTCCTTTACCAAAATTTATCTCTTTTCTTCTTGCAATAATTGAAACTCTACTCCAATAGTTTGAAGACAATTTATCGTTTTCTTTCCTCTCTCTAGACCACCATCTTTTTCTTAAAAGAAACTCTAAGAAATAAAGAGAAATAACAAGTATTGCTGATGAGCAAATTTTTAAGGGTTTGTTTGGCCATAGAAATCACAAGGTGTTACATCCTACAAGTATATTTTTGTTTTGCAAAAATTATACACCAATATTTTTAACCTAATCCACATAGCACCCTAAATTCTATGCAGTTTCTTCTGTCAATATTCTTCTATTTGGTGATACTTTTGTCCTAGAATTATGAGGCATATAATTTTTCCCATTTTACATTTATTTTACCAACTTAATAGGATTAAGATGCTA